TGCTGAAAACCACCACCACGGCACGACTCGGATCAAATGGCACATTATTGCAAAGGTGTTCCCCAGCAGGCAAGCACAGATGGAAACATGCAGCAGAATAACAGTCCTCCCTACCCAAAATAACTTCTTTAGCCAGTTTTTTTAGTTAAAGGTTCACTTAATCGACCACAATAAAGAAAATTTCTGCCAAATGAAGTAACACAGACTAATACCTTCACTGTTTGTGGACCAAATATGCTTATTGTCATCTGTAGTCACCCAAACAGCCATTCTGTGCCAGGAAATCTGTGAAGCCCCAAATCACAAATCTATCTTTACAATCTGCTTTACAGCCTCCTTAGACCGTCGATTTAGACGAGGAAAAACATCCCATTTTATGGGATCATTTAATAAATACAAAAAGACTTTAACAGACTTTTGATTAATTTGCTTCAATATCTTAAAAAAAAAAAACCCTACACAAAAGAGCTCAGAATTTCTTGTATGCGTTCACATATTCAGTCAATAATTTATTTATTTTATTGTTTATTTGATGTGGACATCACAATCACATTGGACAGACCAGATGCTTTGTTTGAGTGTTTTAGCACATGTGCTAATTCGCAACACTTGTCCACAATAAAGCTGATTCTGACACAGTGGGGGCTGGAATTGTTGTGGTGGAGCATTTGAAAACAATGTCATTAAAACAGATAATGCACAGGAAAAAAAAAAATAAACTAGCAGGACTGACATGGACCAAATTGTTAAAGAAATTTAAACTTTTCTGTTTGGCAAGTTGTTGGCGGAAAGTTGCTGTCATTGCAAGTTGCTGACAGGACGGTTCTTTGGTTTTGTGATATCAGAAAAAGTCTGATTCCATGTTTTTGTGCACCACTTTGACATAATGTTTTGTGCTTATTTCACTTATGATACGTCTTCTAGCATATAGAAATGGTCACATGCACATGTTAACGAGGTAAAACACTGTTCACATGAGTGCATGTGACCACCATGACACACCCACTCATGATCATATTAACATAAACTGCAGCATCAGTCCCTCCTGTGTGCAATAATGTCAACCCTAATGATTTGTCTGTTTGTTGTTTGGCTGTTTCATTTCATTCCATCTCACACTTCTCTGTCTATTAAGAAGGAAGGAAGACGCTTGGTGCTTACTTACACCCAGGTCAAGAATCTCAGATGAGGATCTACATCAAAGCTGTAACTAAATCGTCTTCATGGCATCTTGAAAACAAACGGAGAAACTTGGAGTCCTCAAAAAGAAACTCATGGCTTTTATTACCTGTACAGAGGAAGACTGTAATGTACTCCTCTTTGACCATGGAACGTTTGCAGGGACTGGTCAGTAAGTGGTGCCCAGAGTTCAGACAAGACAAGGTGAAATGACATTTTATCATGATGCTGTTGGAACCAGCTCCTCTTTGATTTGATGTAGTCGTGTTCAAGAGAAAGCTCATGACAGCTCTTTTCTCCACTGCTTTAACATCATCAGTCTAAACATAAAGTCTAATCTAAACTGTCTTCACCTATATTGAGGTGGTGTGCCCTTTTGTTGACTTTTTGTTTTCTGTTTTATTTTACACTTTATCTTTTACATGCTTAATTTTTTTTCCCTTTTGTTTTCTGTCATTGTATCAGTCAATCAGTCTGAATTACTCTATACAATTTGTGTGGACTTCATTCACCTTGTTTGCTGATTTA